CTATCGTGAGGATCCATGTAAATAAACTGGTTCAGCACACAGTAGTAAATGTTAGGTTTTTGCAAAAAGCTAATATTTTATAATGTTATGCAAAGTTGCATGTAAATTTAATTTGGGAAATCCATCCTGTTTTCTCCGTTGATTTACATAATGTCAGAGATCCTTCGTCTTTTTCCTTCATTCCTCCTGGATGTCCAGCAGACTACAGCTCCTGTTTTTCTGCCTCCCTATGCCTTCCATCAAAAACTCATGATCTACAAGCTAATTCTTAAATGCCCTAGGGAACTACTCCTTAAAGGGATCCTGTGCAGAGGCAAAGCCATTGCCTGTAAAGTGAATAATCACCTTTTAATTGATCTGGTTTATGAGGTAGTATATTGAGTTTCTGTAAGTTGAACCCACACTGTGGGGGTCACTCCACGTCGACTCCCTTGGCAACCTCATTTGGTGAGAAAGAAATTAGGTAGAATTGCTTATACTCCAAGGAAGGGAGACACGAAGCTGCTCCCTGTCCCTTCTCTCTACAGAGCAGTTTTATTTTTGTTTTTGTTCTTATTTTTCCATAATTCCTTCCTCATCTTGCCTGTGGAAGAAGAAACAGCCTCAGGGCAGGGTCACTTGTCACCATGGTGGTGAGGGACAGTTCCGCATGTGAGTGTGTGGATCTGAGAGTGGGTGTTTGAGGCGGGAACGGCACTTCAGAACTGAAGTCTGGGTCTGGGTAGAGACAGAGCCTCTGACAGGAAGAGCCCCTTGTCCCAAACAGCCACCACCTCTCTTCCCAGCACCTCCTGCCTCTCTTCCCTCTTGCCTTCCTCACAGGGCTGCCTTGACCTCAACCTAGAAAAAAAACAGAAGCTGGAGGGACTCTAGTCAAGGGCATCAAGACTTCCCCCTCAGCTCTGAGGGGTGAGTCATCTTCTGGTTTCTCCATTGATTAAAAGAGGAAAATGAATATGCATTCCCTCAGGGAAACCGTGAAGTCTACTGATGAAGCCTCAGCCATTATTCATGGGTTTAATATCTACCTTGGTCCTGGCAATCACTTCAGATTATGAGAAGGCTGTCTGAGGGGGAAGTCAAGAGAAGACTAGAAAAGAAAATATTGGAGGATGTTTTTACCTAAACCCCTCTTGTGGGTATAAAGTTCACAGTCACAATTCTGGTACCACTGTTTCTGCAAGGGGAGAAAAAACTCTTAGCTCTTTCCACAGCAAGATAATGGCATCACTTCTCTGGTGAAAGCCCATCTCTTTGGGGGTAATTTATTCAATTGAATTGAAACTTCTTTCTCTTCCCCTTCATCTTGTCTCCTCCAGGGGGAAGCTAAATTCCCAGAAGGCTTTTTTCTTTTTTTTTTTTCTTTTTTTACATTTATTTATTTTTGAGAAACAGAGTGAGACAAAGCGTGAACGGGGGAGGGGCAGAAAGCGTAGGAGACACAGAATCTGAAGCAGGCTGCAGGCTCCAGGCTCCGAGCAAGCGGTCAGCACAGAGCCTGATGCGGGGCTCGAACCCACAAACTGTGAGATCATGACCTGAGCCGAAGTTGGACACTCAACCGACTGAGTCACCCAGGCGCCCCCCCAAGAAGGCTTTTTCTTAGCCTTCTAGCCTGATGGGAGGGTCCCCTGTTCCAGATATGTCTGTCGTCCTGGTAGGTTTAGGTACCACCCAATGTCCAGGCTGGCCTTCACTGAGGTATATGCCATCCTTCTAGGCCTGGGTGTGGGCTTCTCCCCTTGTCCCACCCGCTTCCAAAGTGTCCACCCCTGATGTAACAGTGGTACAGTAAATACAAGTTGTTTTCCCAATGGCTGAGTGTCTTCTTGGGTCTGTGGATCCTGAGAACTGTCCTCTCTGAGCCCCACCTTTGGCCCATTACTAACGACTCTGCCAGGATGTCCCCTCAAGCCACATCCCAGTGACCCCATAGCAGGCACTAGATTCTGACTTCTTAACTGCATTTCTCTCCCCAATCAAATAGGGTGTAGGGGCATTTTGAGAGCTCATCCACATCGGCTAGACCTGAGGGAGACTCAGAGGCAGGGCGCGGGGAAGACAGCACAAGACCCTCTCCACCTAAAAATGCAGCCACTCCTGCTCTATTGAAGCTGCCCCATATTGGCGTGGGGCACCTCAACCAAAAGGTGGTCTCGTCCCAGAATATCGGATCCTGTTTTTAGATCTCCAACCTGCCCTCCTCCTTCGTGGATTCAACACAAAGCAGGAGGTGGGGGAAGTAAAGAATAATTATTCTACTTTCCACCTGTCTCAGAGTGTGGATATAAACCCTCAGAGGATCCAAGGAGAAAACATACGTAAGGCAGTAAGCGCATAGACTCAGAAAGTGCTCTATCAGTCTTAAAAAGATAAAGCTATCCCCATTGGCTAGCACAGCCTAATCAACTGTTTAATCAGTCACTTAATTGATTTAATATCTGTGTTCTTGTTATCCATGCCAACACAGTACCTTATACACAACAAGGGCTCAGAAAGTATTTGCTGAATTCACTCACTTTAAGGGAAGAAATGCAACCGGCTTGAGGACAAATCCTATCCTTTCCACTGGATTGGGAGAGAGGGTAGCTCATGTGGGAACCCCACAGGAACCAGGACATGAGCTGGCTAGGGGCAGTACTTCTGGGGCTTTCCAACCCATGATAGTCCTTCATGTACTTCTTCTTTAATTATTTGTCAAGAGTCCCTCTGAAAGCAAGAGGACAGGTCTACTTTAGGAAATGGTTTTGAAATTGATAGGCTCCAGGAAGTCTCCTTGATTCAAAACCTGAAGAAAGTGAGTATTGCTGAACAACGAGCTCATCCTACCTCAAGGTAGAAAGAAAGACCTTAGGGGAAATGACATGGGACCAAGCAGCCCCTATTCAGCACTATTCCTAGCACACAGCAGGGGTTCAATTGATGGAATGAATGATTTCTTGATTTCAGATAGCATTCAAAGCCTCACCTTCGGGGGGGGGGGGGGGGGGTTGTTCAGAGAATGACCACAGTGCACATTTACTAGACCACAACCTGGCTATCTTAGCTACATAGACAGAACAGCAAATGCCCAAAAGGGCTTGATTTATTATTGCACACATGTGAATAAATCCCTGGCCTACCACATCCTAGCCCTCCTAGCAACTGGAACCAAAGCTGGCTACTTCAGAACGCCCTATAAGCTATTCAGTGTGGGCACCTACGATGTGTAAGAACAGTAATGAGATCTTTGAGGCAATGATGTAGGAATAAAATATAATTTCTGCCTTATAAGTTGGGAGGAAAAAATAAACACACAAATGCAGATTTAGTTACACCAGGAAATTTATGTTAAATTACAACTGAGTGATATAATCATTTTGTGCTACAGGTTTGCAAAAGAGCAGATGATATCTGAGAGGTGATCAGAAGAGGTGAGGGAAGACTTTATGGAGAAGCTGAGATTGCATGAGTCATGAGGCATGAGTTATGGTCGGGGGAGCACTAGGACAGTGAGGAGACTGAGTGTCCATTGGCCACCTCACCAGGGGATCCTCAGAGAAGACATTGGGGAGAGCGTCGACTGATAACAATAGTTACCACATGTCAGGCATTGGACTGAGCTTGACATGAATAAGCTCAGGGAATCGTCTTAACAACTCTGAGACAGTGTGTTAGAAACTTCTGGGGTCTCCCCTTCTTCCTTCTTCACAGAACCTCGGTTTTGTTTCAGGCAACACTGTGTTCAGTTAAAATACTCAGGATCCCAGCTTCCTTTGCAGGTGTCGTTGGTCATCCTGGCATAGTTGTGGCCAATGAAGTGTAAGATGGAGTCACTTAGTGGGACTCTCCAGAAAGCTCTTCAAAGGGAGACAAATGCAACATGCTCATGTCTTAGCCACCTTGTGGCCCTGGGTGCTTGGGTAGCAAGACAGAGGGAGCCTGGGTCCCTGATGAGTCCCATGAACAATGGCACCAATACAGGATTACCCACCCCTGAACTGCTTGTTAATGTGAGAAAAACACACTCTTCCTTGATTAAGCCACTACCATTCGATCTCTGTTATTTGCAGAACACTATCTTAACACACACAGGTAATATTAATATCCTGTAGACAGACTAAGAAACCAGGTTCAAAAGTGTCACTGCTTTGAAGTAGTAAATGTAACATTCAAATCCAGACCAATGCAGAACGAGGCTGGTTGACTCCAAAACTGCACTGAGAATGTATGAAACTCCAGAATCCCATTAAAAAACCAGGTAAAGAAAGGAAGCAGTCTTTAGCAATGTCTTAGTTTCTCGTGTAGCCCTTATCGCAGTGTACCTTTTATCGGCTGCTGGGAAGTGTCTCTGTCTCCCAGTACATTGCTTTGAAATCTCCTGGAAGGCAGGACCAGGACATAATCATGCCGGTAGCAAGCCCTTCTCCCTGCCTCCCTCAATGCTTAGCTCCGGCTGAGTAAACTCCCCCACCAAGATGTGGGTTGGGTTGAGTTTGTTGAAAAACACTCAGGATAATAACTGCTCATGAGAAAGTGCATCTTTTTGTGAACAGATGCATATGGTTGTGCTGGTACCTACTTGAGGGAGTGTTTCACATTGTGTATTATACGTGTGTGCATGCGCACAACCCCGTGTCTGCATGTCTGAGAAAGGGAGCCAGGAATATTTCCTCATCACTGTCACATCCATCCTCCACCCCCTTCCCGCTCCCACAGCCCTACAGTGACAGCACCAATGATTATATTAGTGATAACTAAACTTTTGTGCAGGACCTGAAAATTTAATTTCCTTGTGGGAAGACGTAGAGAACCAAGCTTATTCAGGGCGAAGAACTCATGAACTTTCTCAGAAAGGAAGAGAGAATACCAGATACAGTCACTGGTCTTTAGATTTTCTTGAAAAATATAAAAGCACCAGCTCATTTTTGAACGGCCCCTTTGGACGCAGCTTCAGATCCTTTTTTCTCTATCCCCACCCCACATCAGAGTGGAAAGGAAGAGATGAGTGGCCCTTGAGAAACAGCTAATTCATTCCGATTTATTCCATGAGTGTGAATTTCTTTTTTCCATTATTTAAGAAAGTACAATTCCATCAATTTTTCTTTTCCTTCTCAAATTGCTTGGATGGTCAGGATCCTGGTGATATTTAATGAGTGTTCATCATGTAGCAGGCGCTGGAGTTAAGTGTTTGTGTGCTTTAACTCTTTTAACCCTCCCATTTCAAGGATTAAGAAACTGAAACACAGAGAAGATAAGTAACTTGCCTAAGGTCACACAGCTAAGAAGTGACAGCCCTGGGATTCAAACCCCAAAAGTGCAGCTGTAAAGCCCAAGATAGTTTATGGCCACATTACGGTACAGCCTGGTAAGTCTGGAATTCTCCTCTGGGTGTCTGAGTGCATCAGTTCTTTGACTAAACAACAATTATCTCCGAGACACTTAAGAAAAAAAAAAAACAAAAAAAAGTGGAAAAATAAGAAGCAACATATTATTCAACATTGGGGGATTTGCAGCCAATTCCCATGGACAGTCTGATCATCTCAGCCTCCATCACAGCTCACCCCTAGACCAGGATTGAACAGGTGATCTAAGGTGACCATCCCTGGTCTTCTTCAGAAGAAATGGAGGAGAAGCTATCAGAACGGGATGGTGTGGACACAGGGCGAGAGACAATGACAGATGCATATGCTGCCGTGCCTCTAAGGAAAGAACAAGTCTTGCTGAATTTAATGAATTTGGGGTCAAATTGTGACACAGACTTGGCAGCATGGGATTTTGAAGGTGTTCCACCCATATAATTCATCTGTTCACTCAGTGGTGCACCTGTTTATCCCCCCAACGCCCCGAACAGTCCCTTTCATGTGCAAGCAGGGTTCTGGGTGATTCACTGCTCCCAGTCATGTATGGCCCATGTGGTGACCCCAGACATATATCCCCCCAGTCATTTTCCAAGCTCTATTGCACACCACAGCAAACCAGGCCCAGTGTCGAGCACTGGGAATAGAGCAATGAACAACTCGGACGCAGTCCTCACCACATAGCTAATCTCTTGGTAACTGCAGTGAATTAGAAACAGCGGTGATCTGGGGAGCAAAGACCAGGGACCTCGTTTAGGATGAGCTGCATATTTTCCATTCCACCCCACCCCCGCGCCCCACCCTGCCACCAGATCCACTTTCCACGTATTTCCATCCTTCTTGGTGCCCGCAGTAGGCTAGCATGTAAGGACTGTTTCCACAGGATCTCTTGCCCTCTGGCTCCCAGTTAGATTCAGCCAATTGAGACACTGGCAGGAGATTGAGGGAGAAGAGAAAATGAGGTTGAGGTATTTATTTTCTCATCTCCTCCCTGCTGGGTGACTACCGGTGGGCCGCCTCCCTCTACGGAAGGCAAACCCTGCCAGGTGCCCTTTCCTACAATCCCTGCAACTATGACCCTTCTGGCCTCAAGGACTGCCCCCTCCCCTGCCTATTCCAGTCCAGCAGGGGTAAGCCTTGCAGCTCTCGCTAGCTCCAGGAGGGCATCACCTTCCTTGGCTGGATTCCTTTAATTCTGCCCACACCTTCGGGAAAGTCCCCTCCGTTAGCTTGGAGTGAAGGTAACACTGTTTCCTATAGGGAGGTCAAGTAAAGTTTCCCAAGAAGGGACGCTGAGGCTGATCTAGACCATCTTAAGCAAGAATGTCAGACAATAATGCACGAGATGCCCAGCAGAGCATTACTCCCAAAAGGAACTACCAGCTTGGTCCTGCTAAAGTAATTCTAGCCTTAGCTTCACTGATTCAGAATTTCAAAGGGTACAAATTAAATTAACTGTAAGTTAAATTGGGGGGATTTACCAAAGAAATATCCTAACATGAATGTGATTAGCTCCCTATACACGAGCATTTGGGGGTGCCTGCCCAACTTCCACAGCCACTTCTCTGAGGACAGGTTTGAACTGAAGAGTCTGCCCTTTGCAACAGCCGATCAGAGCACAGGCAGGCAGACACCTGGCCCAAACTAGACCAGTTTGTAGTTCAGCCAGAAATGAGACATGACAAAAATATCATTTCATCCTTGTGGGCACTGGAAAAACGTGGGTTAGATGACAGCACATTGAGGGCGGTCGGGAGCCATCTGAACAACCAATATGCTAGAAGCCTGATTCATTATGCCAGTGAGTGTCCTCCCAGAACACAGCCTCTGTCTTCAGCTCTGTCCTATTCAGGTGGCAACTCATCAGAGTTGGGCCTTGGACCTAGCATATGGCACAAGCTCCCAGGCCATGCCTCCTGTCTTCCTACACAGGGACCAGTCAGAAGCCAGTCTGTGACTTGCTTTTCCCGCTGCAAGTAACAGCAAGGCACTCAAACTAACTAAGGAACAAAAGGGAGGGTATATTCAAGGCGTATGGGGTGTGTCCAGGAACCCAGGGAGGAGGAGCTCACCTGGGTTCTTTCTCAGACTGGCTACAGCACTGAGCATAAGCTAACAAGCTACGCAATTCTGTAGTCAGATTTTTAAATTCTCCAACTGCACCGATTGTAGCTGGGAAGGAATGCAGCTTGATGCTGGCACAGGTGGAAGGAACACTTAGGATTTTGACCGTCGGCTCAGGATGAGTCAACAGTATGATGTGACTGCCAAAATAGCAGTGTAATCTTGGGCTGCATTAATAAAAGAGGACGGAATGGTGCTTCCTTCAATTTAGGGCATCATGTATTCAAGGCACAGTGCACACAGAAGAGTGCCCAGGGAGAACTCTAATCATGCTCTGTGGGGAACAGTGGGATACCTGGGATATTGCTGTCTAGCTTTTGGGGGGATTGATGAGAATTACCGGGATGTAGGCTCACCAGTCTGGAGTCTGGAATTAGACCACCTAATCTAAAACCCCAATTCAGCCACTTCCTAGCCATTTCTTATATGCCAGGAGCATCCTAAACACTTCACATGACATATCTTATTTTTTTTTTAATTTTTTTTTTCAACGTTTATTTATTTTTGGGACAGAGAGAGACAGAGCATGAACGGGGGAGGGGCAGAGAGAGGGAGACACAGAATCGGAAACAGGCTCCAGGCTCTGAGCCATCAGCCCAGAGCCTGACGCGGGGCTCGAACTCCCGGACCGCGAGATTGTGACCTGGCTGAAGTCGGACGCCCAACCAACTGCGCCACCCAGGCGCCCCCTTTTTTTTTTTTTTTTAATTTTTTTTTTCAACGTTTATTTATTTTTGGGACAGAGAGAGACAGAGCATGAACGGGGGAGGGGCCATGACATATCTTATTTAATCCTCACCACAACTCTCTGAAGGAGTACCATTTTTATCCTTATTTGACAGATGAGAAAATTTAGGCACAGAGAGGCTAATTAGCTTGTCTAAGGTCACACAGCTAACAGGTTGAAGAGCTAGACTCTAACGGCAAGGAGAGTATACTTTCTTTGCTCTGCCCCTAACTGGCCATATGTCCTTGAGTCTTGTCACCTCTCTTAACTATGTCTCAGTTTGCCCAACTGGAATGTGGGGTGAAGAACCCCTGTCCCACACCAACTAGGAAGTATATGTTGTGGCTGAAGTGATATTGTTGACAGGAAAATATTAGAGAATGGTTAATATGATATGCCAAAGGATGTATTGCCTTAGCTTATGGAGGCTTACAGAGAAGAACCCTTTCCCTGCACTGCCACATACAGGGATTTCATCCTGGCTGTCTTTCATTTGCATAGTATAAACCCTTGGATCTCAGATGATCCAATCAGTTTTTTTTTTTTTTTTTGAAAGAGAGAGAGAGAGCAAGTGGGGTGGGAGAAGCAGAGGGAGAGAGAGGGGCAGGGAGAGAGAGAGAGAGAGAGAGAGAACCTCAAGCAGGTTCCACCACGCTCAGTGTAGGGTCCGATGTGGGGCTCGATCCCGCAACTTTGGGATCATGCCCTGAGCCGACATCAAGAGTCAGACACTCAACCGACCGAGCCACCCAGGTGCTCCAATCCGATCAGCTTTTATAGCCACTTATTAACCCCCAAACAGCCAATAGGAGTTGACACACTTTGGAGCAAAATTTACCCCACCTCAGGACATTATCTTCCTGATGTATAGTGACAGTGCACTAATTCAGGCAGAAGTAATAACATCAAAAGCCATTTATTGGGCATTGTTCTCATTATCTAACCTGCATAAGAAACCACCCCCAAACATAGGGGCTTAAAAGAAAAACATTTATTTTGCTCACAAATCTGCAACGGGGCAGGGCTTGGTTGGGACAGTTCGTCTCTGCTCTACTCGGCATCAGCTGCACTGGGCTCAGAGGTGGGGCCCTTCACCTCACTCACTCTGGCTGGTGCCCAGGGAGAGAAGACTCACACAGCGGGAAGCTGGAAGAGCTGGGGCTCCCGGGTATCACTCTGTCTCTGTGAGGGTCTCCCTACTACATGCCCTCTCCAACACAATGGCGGCCGGTTAACCAGCCCACTTACCTGTTGACACAAGGCTCCCCGGGGCACATGTCTCAAGATTGAGTGAAAGAGGCAGGCGGACACTTTCATGATCTAGTCTCAGAAGTCACATAGTATTACTTCCATTGTACTCTGTTGGCCAAGGCATTTACCACGACGCATCCTGGTCCAAAAGGAGGGGCTCTAAACCTAACGGTCAGTGAAGCAGTGTCGCCATCACACGGGTAAAAGAGCCTGTGGGATGGTGTCGATATTGAGATGGACAGCTTTGGGCAATACACGTGCCACAGGCACTTGCTATGTTCTCAGCATGGAGATAAGTGCTTCATAACCATTATGTATTGCCATTATACCCACCCCCAAATCCTGTTCTAGTAGGCACTATTATTTCGTCTTACGGGAGATAGAAGACCGAGATACAGAAAGGTGAGCAACTTACCCCAGTCACACACCAGCCTGTGGAGGAGCTGGGGATGAGCCCCAGGTGTTTTGACTATGAGGCCAGGGAAACACATGAGGTTCATGAAGGTCCCGCTTCCACGAAGGAACACACTTGGTGGCGGCCATGTGGCACAATGACTAGCTGTGGGAGGGCTTGACATCAGCCTGCTAGGGCTCCCTTCCAGGCCCCTCCGCTCACAAACTGCACAACCTAGCTTCTTCACCTCTCCAAGCTTCGCTGTCTTCACCAGCAAAACGGGAATAACCACAGCGCCCACCTGTGAGGACGAATCGAGACAACACAGGTCAAAGGCCCCACACGTTGTCTGGAATCTAGTGAGGACTCTATAAATGTCAGCTGTTATTATTTTAAAAGTGGCTCAGGAAAGACGTCTTAAAAGGACAAATCTATTGCTATTAGCAAAAACATGTGTCACACATCCTCAAGCCCGGCAAACATATTTAGTTCATTGGCGTCATTATTCTTGTCTATCCCTGTGTAGACAGGACGCTGCAGTGTGCTGGCCGGGAAAGACACTCCACCCCCTCCCTCCCTCCCCTCTGATCAACAAGGCAGGTGGTGCAGCCTGTAAGAGTTCCTAGCGTGTCCTTTCCGGGAGGGGTACCTGGGCTGACTCAGCTGGGAGGGTGTCCAGTGACTCATTAAGTGTCAAAAGCTGATTAAATGTCCTCAGGCCTCAGGAAGGGAGCTAACACCCAGGAGACCCTAGATTCTCTCCTCACCCCAGGCTCCCAGTAGCTCTCAGATAGGAGAACAGGGGCGGGATGATGACCTGGGTCTCCATATCAGCAGGGAAGTTAGTCATTCTACACACACACCTCTCCAGCTTTAATAAGAGGAGTTTCACCTCTCTTCTGCATATTCAAACTCATGGCTCAGCACCCCTCCCTCATCCGTTCCCATGGCTTCAATTACCATCCAGAGCTAATGAGTCCCAAATTCACATCTCCAAACCAGACTTTCAGATGTCTTTCCAGAGCTGGATACCCGCCTCCACTCAGATGTCCCACCTGCCCCCCACCTTGGACTTGTCTCCTTCCCCTCACCTGGACCAGGCTCTCCTCCAGGATGCTTGGTGACGATTTCCATGGCCCACCCAGGTGGGCCTGACACTCCCCTGCCCTGCCCCCACAGGTGGTCCATCACAAATCCTATTGTTTCTACCTCCTGAGTCTCTCCTTCTGCCAGATTCTCTTAGAGGGTCACCCAACCACTTGCAAACCCATCTCCACTCTTCTCCAACTCTTTCCCCTTGCTGCTGTAAGAATCTGTAAAATGCAAACACGGGCACTGTCACCCTGCCTTAGCCTCTGCTGTGACTCCTCCTCGTCTTCAGATAAAGTCCTTAACATGGTTCCCAGGCCTGTGTGATCTAGGCACTGCCCATGTGTTATGATCTGAATCGTGTCCCCCAAATTCACATGTTGAAGCCCCAACCTCCAGTACCTTAGAATGGGACTGTATTTGGAGACAGAGCCTTTAAAGAGGTGATTAAGTCAAAATGGCATCATTATAGTAGACTCGAATCCAACGTGACTAGTGTCCTTATAAGTTGCCTCCCGGGGCTCCTGGGTGGCTCAGTCAGTTGAGTGTCCAACTCTTGGTTTCGCCTTAGGTCATGACCTCACAGTTAGTGAGTTCGAGCCTCACATCACGCTCTGCACTGAAAGTGTGGAGCCTGCTTGGAATTCTCTTTCTCCCTCTCTCTCTGCCCCTCCTCCATTCTCTCTCTCAATAAATGAAAACTTAAAAAAAAAAAAAAAAAAGATGCCTCCCTGTGTATGCGTCCCAGTTTGGTCCTTTGTCACCCTAGCTGTCTAATGCACCATCGCTCACCTCTACCTCACCACCCCCCCACCCCATACAGCTGCAGCTGTACACATTCCTGCTCTCTGCTCCGGGCTTGGCCCTGCTCTTTCTTAAGGATCTAATGGTCTTCCCAAGCCTCTTTATCCAGTCACCTCCTTCCAGTTCTGGCATTATTTCCTCCAGGAAGCCATCCCTGACCTCCATGTTTAAGTATCTCCCAAAACAACCCTCAAGTTCCTCCCTCATAGCCCCATATTACAACCACCGATTTATTTATCTGTGTGTGTCACTAGACTGTTAGCAGCATGGGCACAGGGACCACGACATCTAGGACAGCATCTGATCCCTAGAAGGTGCTCTATAAATCCTTTTCAATGACTGGCACTTCATGAGTGGATGAAAAGTCACAAAAAACTCAAAATAATTTAAAAATACAAAACTACTTTTAGCATTCAAAAAAAAAAGTTCATAAATATCCTAGTAAAGATCCCAACACAGCTCCTTTTGGACTACCTAAGTTTCCAAGCAAAAGAGAGCCATTGTCTCATAAATCTGATTCTTGGGCCTCCAGACAGTCTGTAAAAGAAGGGGGTGTCTGTGGACCTTAAACTGAAGGTGCTGATGAAGATTTGGTTCAGCTCCTGAACCCATGTTTAACATGTAACATGATGAGCTTATATCTCACTTCAGGTTTATGGCCTCATGACGGGGAAAGCCCGTCCCAGAATTCCTGGCCATCTCCATAACGGCCAGCAAGATGGAGCACCTGGGTGGCTTGGTCGGTTAAATGTCTGACTCTTGGTTTGGGCTCAGGTCATGATCTCGCGGTTTGTGAGATCGAGCCCTGCATCAGGCTCTGCACTGACAGCACAGAGCCTGCTTAGTATTCTCTCTCTGTCTTTCTGCTCCTCTCCTGCCCTCTCTTTCTCCCTATTAATAAATACATACATACCCTCTGTCTCTTCAGGGCAGCCTGTGGCAGCAGAACACACATCCATACTGGTCTTGACCACCCGGGTCAGTGCTGTTCCCAACCCACCAGTCAAGGGTGGGCCTGGGGTCCCCGGCTCTGCGTGAACTGGCCCTGTATGGAGCAGAGAATAATTTCACCCTTAAGTCCCTCCTTGGCTCTGAGAGTCCCCTGCCAGGTGTTGGACTTACCTGCATTTTACCCATATAGGGTGAATCTGGGTTTTCTGAATAATGACCTGCTTGTTTAGAAAAACAAAAACAAAAACAACCTGATTCTAGCTCCACCTGGAACTAGAATGAAGGTCCGTATGCAGACAGATTCAACTCCACCAGCCCTCCCCTCCTCCCTTCCCTGATTTGTTAAGTCACTGTCACCATCACCTAATTTACTACGTATTCATTGTATTTGCTCACCCTACCCCACCGCACCGCTATCAGCAATAGAATAAGGGCACTGTGAGGGCGAGCATTTTGTCTGTTTTCTTCCCTGCTGTTCCTCTCATGCCTTGAACACAGCCTGGCACAGAATAGAACACAGCTTGCTCAGGGTGTTTGTGCTGAGCGAAGAGATGAAAAACTGAATGAAGGAATGAATGTACACACTCCCTTCTGTCCTCCCCCAACTCTCACTGCCACCTTGGAAATTCCCTTAAATTCGCAGGGGGAATCCCCTCTGGTGCCCCTCATACCTTACATTCCTCTAAATGAGATTTCAGTATGTGCATTAAAATCATTCCCTGGTCCATCTGTGAATATTGCCCCAGTTCTACAAATGTCCTTCCAGGGTCAAGGGGGGTTCTGTTCACACGTGAAATGAGACAGGATTCCATTGATCCTAAAACCCACATGAACAGATCCACCAGTGACCTGGGTTTCCTGCCCTCTCTGGGCAGAGCTCCCAGGGGACAAAAATGTGAGGCCAAGACCCTGACTGTGGAGGTACAGTGGACACTTGGGGTCCATCAGCACCTGCTGCCTCAGGACAGACTTGGGAGGTGGGGGCAGCAGAGAGGGCACTGGACCAGGAGTCAGGATCTGGCCTCTGGGCTGGCTGACCAACCTCAAGTCATGGCAAGCAGGTCAGATTTACTGAGCCCAAAGACCTGTCTTGGGCCATTGTGAGAAGCAAAAGAAGCATGGCGAGGGGGTATGGGGGGGGGGGTGCAGCAAAGCCATGGTGAATGGCTCAGCCTGGGATTGAAACCCCCATCCACCACTCAATGCTACGTGACCTCCAGCAGGCTTCCAAACCAACTCCAGACCTCATTGTCATCTCAGGATCCAGCATGTGGTTAACAAGCCATTATTATGAAATGTAAAAGAATGCAAGAGAGTAACCTGATCCCAGGAAGGAGGGAGGAAAAATGTAGGTGCTCTGCAAATGTACAGCCTCACTGCAGTTATCTGAGAATCTGAAAATTGTCCTGTTCCCACTATTCTCTCCCTCCTGGCCCCCACAAATTTTGGGGGTGGGGGGAGGAGCACTGGTATTGCTGCTTTGGGCATGGGTGGCTGCTGGGCCTAGAATCTTCCCAGAAGCTGCAAATACTAAAGCCTTCCCTTAGTTGCTGACTGATTTGAGACCCATATGTGATCTCCACCCTGAAAAGGCTCTGGAGTCAGACAGATGGCAGTTCAAATCCCAGCTCTACCGCTTAGCTGTGTGACCTCAGCCAAATTAATCACCCTCTCTGTACCTCATTTTCCTCCTCTGTAAAATGCAAATAATGATAGGTAGCACCTACCTCATACGGTGATGCATTACCAACACGTCCGTGTCACCAAAACAAATCCCATGCTTCTCTGCCGTGGCTCCTGGTGATTCCTTCCAGCCTCTAATGCTTTCTTCCCTTCTCATCTCTGCCTGTTGAGACCCAAACTAATCCAGAAGGCCATGTTCAAATGACTCCTCCACCATAATGTTTTCCCAGGTCTCTCTGTCATGTGCCCTCGCCTTCCTTTCAACCTTGCTGACACGCTTACATACACCCTTCTATGAAGTCGCCTTGGAATCACATGAATGAAGGACACATTTTATTCCTGGCCTCCTTCTCAACAGATCCTCAGTTTCCTCACCCGTAAAAAGGACATGCTGAAACACCTATCTTATAAGTTTGTGGTAAGAATTAAAGGGGATAATGCGTACAAAACATGGGGCACAGAGCATATCACATCATATATGCCAGGAAATGTTACTATAATTGTAACGATTGTTAGTACTAAGTAGACGTGAGTCTGAAAGGCTGCCATTTGGAATTCATTCCTCTGGGTCTCTCTCCAGTTCAGTTTCTTCTCTACTGTGATCTTGGGTCAGTAGTGGTGGCCCCAGGGAGGAACAATTGGCTCTGAGCTCTCCCTAAAGACTTAGCTATTCTTTTGACAACAGAACTTTTGGTGCCTGAGGCAAAAGGAGAGAAGAGAAGGGGCAGGGAGAAGCTGGAAGGAGCATCTTCCAAGTAAAAGGGGGCATAATATGGAAGGTGGCCCCCATGCGTTGAGGGCTCCGCATGCGACCCTTTTCCACAAGTTCTCTCTTTGGACCTCATGACAAACCTTCAGTGCCCCCCCCCCCCAGCTATTTTCTAGTTGACAACTCTGACCTCAAAGCAGTAAAGTGATGAACCCAAGGTCACACAACCAGTGGCAACACAGCTCAGATACAAACCCAGGTCTCTCTTACCCCGAGGCTCATGGAGAGGAGAGAGGTCAGAAGAAAGAAGGGAGAGAACTTTTATCCACGGACAGCACACACCTCCATGATAGGGCAGAAAAAACAATCTGTGAAAATGCATGGTTTTATTTATGGAAAATTAATTCAGCATACAACTTCATCATAATACCATTTCTCGAAACATTAACTCCCATCAATGTTGTAAAAGTCTGGGAAGCTACAGAATGTCTTTTTTTTTTTAACCTGCTATTATCTATAAACATCCTTGATGGCCAAGATGGCCAAGATTTCCCCTCCTCCCCTCTTAATCTGATGATTTTCAATCTAGAAAGGTCAGGGATGGCCCCATGTGTTACTGGGGCTTGAGAAAGGTTCCCATCAGCCTATAAACTCAGGGTAAGGCAATGCTCACTTTAATTGCTCTGTGAATTAGAGCCTCCTTTTGATTTAAATCCACAGCCACAAATGGATTATTTTCCCCAGTCCTAGAAACAACGGTGAAGCATTTCTTTTGTTTCTCTTGTCCGATATCGCCCTCTAGTGGTCGCAACTCTACTTGAAAATAGAGTGTAAACCCACCAAAGAGATGTGTGCCACTCAGACCCTTTCACAGCCTCCCCTATCTATTCATCCATCCAGTCAGCCATACCTCTGGCCATCATTGCTTGAGAGCCTACTGTGTGCCAAGCACAAGCAGCGAGGATTCTGGGATGCCCTAAGAGCTTAACAATTTGCTTACTAATGTGGAACTTGAGGGAGGGTCTAGGGAAAATGGCCTAGATCCTAGGCCTCGAGAACTGGGTTGGAATCCTAGCTCTTCCAACCCAAGTGATCCTTGGGATGGAGGTCAGTTCCCCGCCAGACTTGTTTCATCACCACAGAGCTGGTAACCAACTTGTCCATCTTCAAAATAGACAATATTAGATGCATCCTATCTTTATTTAATCTTACCTTTGTTTTTCACAACCAGATCGCCCCACTAGTCTTGGAGCACACCTAGTTTTTGTGATGGAGGAAAGGCAGGGGAGCTAGTGGGTAAGCTCAGATCATGGTTTCAGAAGCCCTGGGTTCGAATCCCTGTTCTGCCAGTTACCATGGACAAACTACACAGCCTCTCTCAGTCTATTCTTTCTTGCCTATAAAATGGGCACAATCAGAGAATCCAAGATAATTCAGGTTCTCGGACTTCGGTGTAAGCAAAATCCCCTGGGGATCTTGTTAACAGGACAGCCCCTTCTCAAACTTACTCGTCCAAAATCTCTGAAAACGGTCCCAGGTATCTGATCAGTAACCAAGGCGGCCAGGTGATTTGGATGTCCAACAGCCTTTGACGGCAAGGGGGACACAGCAGCCCCCTGGCCCCCAAGCTTGGCCAGACATTAGAATCTTTGAAAATTCTGATTCCCACCCCACTAGATTCTGACAGAACTGGTCCCAGGGAGTCTGGCATTGGGATTTTCAAGAATTCCTGCAGTGATACTCACGTGCAGCCAGGGTTGACAACCGCTGCCGTAGACCAGTGCTTAATGCGCAGTAATACTTCCTAAAAGTTAAAAGAAGCCCTCCCAACACATCCACATCATGACTCAAACACCTTCACTCAACAATAATACATAATAGCTTCTGTCAGGTGCCAGGAGTTGGCAACAGAATGGCCATCAAACCAAAACAAAAAGATAAGAATCTCTACCCTCAGGGAGCTCACGATAATGTAGCAGGGCCAATTTGCCCTTTTGTACTGGCCCCCCCCCAAATTATAAATCCAGCCCCCAAAAGCAGGCACGGCATATCATGTAGTTCCTTGTGGGTCACAGTAAGAGCTTTCTCTTTGAGATGGAAAGTCATCACATGCCCTGCCATTATCTGTCTTAGAAAAAAAAAAGAGATTTTGAGATGCCCTTGCACCTTCCAGAAAAGTGACTATCTCATGGTAAGATTTCAGTCAGAGACTGGGTGTGGGGCAGGTGCATATTTGGGGCAGTGAGACCTACCCTGACTTACTGCATCCCATGTGTCTGTCTATTCCCCTCTGAGTAAGGCTGTCGGAGCAGGAGACAGACGACTGTAGCCTGGAGCTTCCCTCCTGCGCCCCCTCCACCCACTGGCCTGCAGCCTGCAGCCTCCTTCTCGGCTGACTCAGAGGGCCAGCTGTTTCCAGCTGTACAGACACATGGGAATACTTATTCTTAATCAGGATTTGAGCCTTGCACCTGCTCCCCTTGGCTGGGGCTGAGCCTACTTCAGAGGCCAGGGATACAGAGGGTGCAGGGAAACCCTTTTTTATCACTGTAGCCACACCAACCCCTAGCTGCTCATTAGCACCTATGAACGAGGCCAGAAAACCCTGCGAAATCTGGTTAAATCACTGAGAGTGTGGGAGGAGGGAGGATAGAGAGGCCTCTCCTGGTCCTCCAACTTAAAATAACTGCCTCCATCACCCTCTCTTCTCCCTGCATTATCTTTATTCATAGCACCCATCGCAAGCTGACACTTTACTCTGTGTTTGTTTACTTCTCGTAGTCGGCCTCCCCCACTGGAATGTAAATGCTCTATCTTCAGCACCAAGCAGTGTGTGACACCTAGAGAGATGTTTAATTAATATTATGTGTTGAATGAGTGAGTGAATGAATGAATGAATGAATGACACCGGTCTCCTCGAGTTTCCAGGAGCTGCCTACTCCTCACATTTACTGCTTTCCTGCCCAGCCCTGGAAGCTTTGGATTGCTCACCCCTCCTCTCCCTGCCCTGCTGGCTTAGCTCCCACTCCAGGGCTTGGGGGCTTCCATGCCGGCTCCTGGGGACTGAACTCAGGCTGCACTGGGCAGCAGAATTTGCCTGGACAGCCTCCCAGACCTGTCCACAGAGTCACGGCCCTAAGAGGCCAAGGTCACCTGGGGGACACCCAGCATCTCTCCTGTGCAACCACATGGCAAGCCTAAGGGTGAGGGTTATTCTTTCCTTCCTTCATGTGGCTTCCAAGAATTCAGCCACCAGGGTGATTTTATTCAGGTCACCTTCCCCAGGTTTAGACACCAACACCCCCCCCCCTTTTTTTGCTTAGCCTGGTAGACATAACCCCCCAGCCTTCATGATCTCTGATCCCCCACCCCTCTATCCCCATCTTAAATTTCCTAACCAAGCCCATTCCTTTCCATATTTCTCTGTGGCCGCCATCCCCCAGCCCCGCAAACCTACTCAACCATCTCTGGCACGCAGCCTGTCCTGCTTGTTATTCATATTCTTGAGAATAATGGATAATAAATAAGACCTTGCTTGCAAAGAGCTTTCACACCACCAACCCAGAGCCTCACACGAACCCTATGAGGTAAATGGTGACTCGCAGAGCTTAAGTGACTTGTCGATGATCAGCAGCTAGTTAGTGGCCGAGCCAAGTCGGGAACCTATTTTAAGTGCCATTATTTATGTCTTATCAGGAGATTATCATTGTAGAAAGGAAACGAGTGGAAATGACAGTCCAGGTTTTAATGTATGACTTTATTATATTTCAAGGGCAAGATTTATTCCCACTCCTTAGTATTGTAATTAAAGTAAATGGAATAAGATTTGGTTTTATATTTGCCTTTCAAACAACCTTTCAGAGACACCTGCATTGCTCTGCAAAAGGAAAGCCATCTGTTCACATATTCACTGTGTTAAACAACTACTCATTCACTCAGTCAACAATTCTGTATTTTATTTTCCCTGTGTGCCGGACCCCGGGCTTGACACAAGACAAGCACTGGTGAGCAGAGCAGGCCTGGCCTTGCCCTCATGCACTTTGAGTCTAGTGAAGTCAGGTATTACACCAAGGCTCATGCCAAGAATGGAGGGTCAGAAATAGGGTAAGGGCCATGAAGGAGGCACAGGAGCTCTGGCAACTTCTAGCAAAGAAATTGAATCAGCCCAGGAGCTCAGGGAGGGCTTCCCAAGGGAGTGACCATTGGCCCGGGAGGAGAAAGATGAGAATTTAACACAGGGAAGAGGGAAGAGAAGGAATTTGTGGAAGAGGGAACAGCATGAGCAATGCCCTGTTGCTGGAGAGAGAACAGCACTCTCAGGAAACTATGAGGAGTTGGAGAAGTGACCTGGTATGAGACAAGGTGGGGGGCCTGGACTACTCAGGCCTTGTGGGTCCAGGAAGTGGTCTTGGTCTCTTCCCAGAGAGCACAACAAACTGCTCAAAGCAGAGATTGATATAATCAGATTAGGTCTAATTCTGCCACCCTGGGGTGGCACAGGGAGAAGAATGTCTGAAACTGCAAAGAACTTTCCATCACTTTCTTTAGCATTAATGAAGCCCCATTCAAAATTAGGACATTGATTTTCTCAGAAATATAGGTGCCACTCTGAAGCTGACAATATTAATAAAACCAATAATTATAATAATTATAATAATAAGTACCTACTAGGCATTTGATGTTTTGTATATATGATTTCATGTAATCCATGCTTCACCATAATTTATAAGACAGGCATTATCTTTGCCCATCTACAGATGAAGAAAGTGAAGTTCAGAGGGGGTTAGCAACCTACCCAAGGTCACACAGCTACTGGCAGATCCAGAGTCCAAACTTAGAAGACTGTCTAAATAAATGGTGGCTCTGTCATCTCTATGCTCCATAATCTTGGGATCCTTACCCAGAAATTGAAGGGCAGCCACCATGATAGGTCTAAAGAGTTTGTCATCACTAGGGTATCAGGGTCAATAAAGGGCTATGCTTTGCCAAAGCCAATGGCCAAATCTCTCCTTATCTTATTTGACCTTCAGCAGCAATGACCTGATGATCACCTCTCCTTCTTGAAACATGTTCTTCTTTTTTCAGTTTTAATTTTTTGAGACAGAGAGAAAGAGAGAGTATG